CCCACCCCCAGGCTGGATAGATTACATGCCATGGGGGGCCATGGGGGAGCAAGGGGGAACAAGTGATAAAACAAGAGTGCAACATTGCAACTCAGCCTCTGCCCCTTTTGTGCATGCATCAGGACAATGCTCAATTGGTCTGCAAATGCCTCTCTCAGGTGCCTTTCCCCACTTGCACCCAGCCATGGCATAGAGCTGCCTTAGCAACCTTCTTTTCCCCCTTGTCCCCACAAAGCTGCTTTCATCTTGTTCCCCACCAATGAGTAAGCCAGGCTTTAAACTGTCCTTAGTCCCACCAGAGTCAGAGTAGCACTTTCCCCTGATTTCAAGGCCATCCAAGGGCAGCCTCAGAACGGATACAATCTGTTAGGCTTTGTCTCCCATTACCTTGGATGAAAGTCAGAGGGAAGAGAGGCAGTCAAGGCAGGGCTGGGATTGGCAATGGGGATGGCCACTTTCATTCCCCTCACCAGTGGGGGGTGGGGGGAGGCTGTTCACAGTTGTGCCTGCAAGGGAGATTGCTCTGTGCACATGTATGCAATATGCCAACTCCATGACTTGATTCAATTGAGAAAATGCTGTAAGAGTTTATTACTTCAACAATGTCCACAAAGGACTGTCCTTTAAAACACTATTCAGATGAAGCTCTAAAACCATCACATTCTTAGTCTTTTTGGCATTTTCAAATTTTAATGTTGAAGTTCAAAGCGCTTTCCTACAGTCCATGAGGTGACACAAAAATATCTCTGTCCCCACAACCAACTTTTCTTCTGCCTTGGTGAAGAGGCACTGGAAGGTAGAGTTTGGGACAAGCACCTGCCCTTCCCCTCCCAGCACACCCGCCTTCTGGGCAGCAAAAACAACAACTCATCACTCTCCTTCAGACAGGGGTGGGGTGGGGCGGCAGGAGCCTGTGAAGAGATGCATGTGTGCATGTGTGCATTAGTAGAAGGCAGGTCTGGTCCTCTCTTCTTAAATATACAGGGTGTACCAAAAATCCGGCCCCATTGGCCAGTAGATGATCTAAAGGAGCCCATCACATAAGAATTTGCGAACATCAGAGAAAAAGTTGCTGTATTTAGGAAGGTTCAAAGGTCATGTATCAAACGAGCAAGGAAGTGTTTAGAAGAAAATGGCAACCAGTTCAAACATTTAATATAATTTATATAATAAATTGTCTACAGTACACCCTGTGCTTTGTTTTACAGAATGAAAGGTACAGCATCGTGTGTTGTGTTTAATATTAGGTTGGTAAGCAGCTGATATTCCTTGAATTATGGAAAAAGCAATATGTTGCTATTCACTAAAACCAAAATAACTATAATTTATATTTTTGTAATTACACTGTTAGGTCCCAGTGGATGTTTCACTTCAGTCCAGAGAATAAATCAAGGGAAGCAACAACATCTGAAGGAATGGAATGCTCTCCCGTTTCTAATGGGCCTTATCCCTTGTTAAATAAAAATCAATATTCCTTACATACTTATAACATTCCTATTAATTAGTTTCCTGTCTCTTGTGGTCTCTTTTGTTTTTTGTTAAGGTTAATGTTCAGCCCTGACAGTTCCTCTGGAACATGTCTACCCCTGCATGTGGTATTGAGGGCCACTGAGAGGTCTCACCCCTTGCTGCTCAGGGACGGTCCAAACCAAGGGTAGCAGAGGCACCCTGGTGCCCAGTCAGGGAAAGCCAGCACAAAGCTCTCCACACAAATCAACTTTGGCTGGGTCTGGCTACTGTCTTCACGTTGGGGTGCCCTAACTACAATGTGATAGCAGTACAAAGGACAGGGGACAAGGGTTCCTGCTCTCTGCTTCTGTTGTAATTTTGGCTCAAATACACTTTTTGTACATGCAAGTTTTCCATGGTTTGTCAGAAACTGAAGCACCTATCACACACATAAGTCTACTGTCTGAAACAGAAAAGCAGGCAGTCTTGCGCACATAGGTTTCACAGGCATAATTGACACAGAAGATCTTTTTGTTTTGGAGAATCCACAACAACAGTATTTTTCCTAAAAGCACTTGCTTGTTCTGGGGGCACATGCCAAGGAAATGTATGCAGTATTGGGTACCTTTATGCAAAAGGGGCTACACATATCAGTGCAGAATATTGCCAAATGGGAGAAAGAGGAGATATTTGAAAGGTCACCTGATTGTTGAGGTGTAGGAGACTTTCATCATGTTAACTGCATGTGTGTGTGCACTCACAGTTCTGCTTAGTGAATGCAGACTGAAAAGACAGCAGAAAACCTTTTATGTAAAAGCAATTGCAATGGGAAGATAATTGGGAAAATTTCAGACATTTGCATAATGAAGGGACTGTTGTGTCTTGCAACAGAAGATACAGAAATCTTCAACCTAGGTGACGTGTACATTAAGGCTGATACATTTATCAAAATAAGTCTTTCTTGTCCATTCTCATCTAGGTTTTGTTTGGTGTGGGAACCAAGAATACATTCTACCCTATGCCTCCCCCCAAGAATCTTAAAATATGTATTGTTGCTGGCAAGGAAATGATAAAGGAACATAATTAGGCAATGATGACCCCAAAACAGAACATAGATTCTTTCCTGGATGCCACAAGCCATATGTGCTTGCCTGATGTTTATAGAATCTTCATTAGTGAAGAGCCTTAATAGATAAGAGACTCAACTGGAACATCAATGGTTGAGATAAGGGCAAGTGCATAACCAATCTGACGATTCACAAGGGGCTGGAAAGAAAAACACAGCAGAAACACAGCTTCAGAAAGTGACAGGCCTTCTTTGTATCACTGCTTGTTCTTCAGACTTCAGTCAGACAAAACCTTGCTGTTCTGGATCATTTGTTGTCCCCCAGCCTTGGAAACTTAACAAAATGTTCTATTTTGGTGGCTGGACTGTTCTGTATGTCGTTATCATTGTTCTGCAAAGTGGAACTCGCATGGGAAACCAGCACAGCTTACTTACAAAGGAGGATTCTCACAAATCATCTGGTGAACTTGGAAATATAGAGGAAGAGGCCCATTTTGATTTTAAGGCTTTTCTGGAGAACCTGAAAGCTGATTTTTTAAGGAGCTTGAACTTATCAGCAATACCTTCACAAGAAAAGATCAAAGAGGAACCACCCCAATTCATGATTGATTTATATAACAGATACACCAAGGACAAATCCTCCAGTCCTCTAGCCAACATTGTGCGCAGCTTCAGACCTGAAGGTATGAGTAGTTTTCAATGCGTAAGCTAGAGTGATGGAATCCTAAACACCATTTGAAATGCTCTACTAACAGCTTTTTATATTTTCCACTTGTTTTCTTTTATAATGCAAGAGATAAAAAAGAAAGTTTTAAAAAGGAAAATTAAAAGCACCAATAAATTGTCAATGTAATTTGCATTAGTGTTTCAGATCAGTGTTAGCACTTTCTCCTTCTATAGTTCCTTTACAAATGCAGATAGAAAATTCTACTAAAGCATAAGGTACAGCTATCTGGGGTCTGAATAATCTCTAGGTATTCTAGACATCTCAGGAATCATGAACATTTGCCAAAAAGTAGTTGTGGCCCCAAAATCAAAAGAAAGCTCACACCATTTCATTTCCTCCTGACCTCCATGTTCTCCTGAGCCAAAACAGTTCTGCTTTGATAATGGCCCAATGCTTTGGGGTCTTTCTAATTAGCATAGTTGAACTACAGAGTAGTCTTAGCTTTCAGCCATGTCATTTTCCGTACTGCAAGGTGGACTAAAAAGCTTTCAGTTTTGCTCCAGTAGGAAGAGGACTTTAAATACTAAATTTCTTCAAAAAAACTAGAACAAATTTTAGGATGAGAAACTGATCAGAGCAAATTCAGAAGGCAGAATAATGACATTAAAATGTGTGCAGTACACATTATTTGGTGGTAAGATATATGAAGGAAGGAGATTTCCCCACTCCATAGAAATACACCCCAAAGCAGATCTGCCTTGGGCTCTGATCCCCTCGTCCCACATTTTAGCCAGGTATAGCTAAGATCTCCTTGTCGATTAATGGTTTAGGTAATTGGAAGGATGGATCAGAGAAGTAAGTGTATTGAGCTGCTGTCCTCCTATATCCACTTTGGTTGCTACTGCTATGTGAGCATGTGCATATAACTTTACACTGCAAATATTTCAACTTTGTCATTGGCAGCCCTAAACTGTTGGCTGTTTTAAGGCAGGATCTGGCCGTTCATTACTAAATTCTATCAGCTAGAATAAAGTCTTTGGATGCATAGTTTGGTATCTGAAAGTAATCCATGATTTTGGGCCCCAATTTTCAAACCACAGTGAGTTTTTTAAAATCTAAACATTTCTAAAAGGGAAAGAACTGAGGGGAATGTTAAATGACCACGGATTTTTGCAACTTCCTAAACAACAGCCATGGAATGGGGGTGCTTATCCAGTCACAAAATGTCAAGGAGGGAAATGGGTGGTAGAGACCCCTGGCCATTTATCAGGTGCCAGAGAGTCGTGGTGAACAGCATAGCATCATCTGTGAGAGAGGTGTTTCTGGGAGTTACAGCAGCAAAACAGAAGGCCAACTGGTGAGGCTAAAAGAACAGCAAATTGCCAAAGAGGGCACATATAAGGGAGAAGTGGGCATTTGATGTCTACTCACAAACCCTCTCTTTTGAACTCTGAGTGTTTGGTTACAACTGCTGTTTCAGAGGGGACTCAGAGACAAGTCAATTGACCTAAAAACTGAGGACAAAAGTAAGCAGGGTCTGAGAAGCCTGTCCCCCTAAAGTACAACAAAACACCATTATCTAATTACTTACGTGTTTACTTATTAATTTGTTCTGTTTCATGGAAGAGGTCCCAACCCTGCTCATTACCAGAAGTTGGTCAAAATGGAACTCTTCTGGAAGGCATTTAATTAATTGATTGATTGATTTACCTAGAGCCATCCAAGTGTTAACTGTTATAGGAGCATCATTTTAAATAAATGGATGATAATAGTGTTTTTTAAAAGGTTTCACTACTTTAGTTGATAATATTATATAGTGGGTGTTTTCATCTGTAAACTGCCAAGAGTCTCAAGATTGTGGTGGTTTAAAAAAGTAATAAACAAATAAATAAGATTATGTGGAAGATGATACTCAGGGAAAAAACAGGTAAATCTCCAGTTCCTCCTTAGATAATTCCCTCCTCCATACACCCCAACGACTCAAAGCCACAGATAAAATACTAAACACATCATGTGTATTTTGACAAAAGTACAAAGCCCAACACTCACACATTTAGGCAAAGAAACCAGCTGATGCCTCCACTCTCCTTTTATAAACATAGATTTGAAACCCATAGAGTTCTCTAAAAGTTATTTTTTAAAAAATAAAAAGCCTATCCACTTTAATTTTGACCTTTTGACTACAGCAGAATTCTAGACTGATAACTTTCCCAATTGGTATAAATAAAGTTAGTAAAAAGTTACCCAAAGCAATACATATCACTCATTATTTGAAGTTTCTCTAACCTCTTTTTAAATACACCCAGTGTAGTGTAATACTTAGTGTTGGGTTAGGACTCAGGAAACCCATGTCTGAGTCCCCCTCAGTCACAGGAACCCACTGAATGACTTTCTGGCAGGCATATTCTCTCCACTCAACGTGCTCCACAAAGTTCTTGTCATTAGAACAATATTTACAATCATTAGAACAATAAGAACT